TCAACACAGGCTCAGTGCCAGGGCGTGCATAGAGAACAATTGTTTTCTGTGTGCTCTGTTCACACTACAGCTCTGAGGTGATGTGTGGTGCACTGCATATATGAATTTTTAATTACCACGTGCTATGGTGCATAAGCTTTAGTGAACTTCAATTTAATTTTGTGACACTTCAATAAAGTAAAAAAAAAAGAATGCTGTAACAGTGCATCGCTCTGCCCGTACACAACCTTATTTTAACCACAGTTAAAATGAACTAAATTTACTTATTGTTTAAAAATCTGAACGTTGGGAATTACTTTAGGGGTAGAGGAATACACTGTAATACTTACCTTATTCCTTGCTCCAGTAAGGTTTAGGCACTCACCTATCTCTCTGAAGCTCCAAGCTATGGATGGGTCCTCACCCGTTTCACGTACAGTGCAGGGCTATTACCCTTGCAGTGTATGTGACATTATCACCATGCAACGGCTGGCCAGAGTGCCTTAGAAAAGAGGCTTCAAAATATCGGTTGCATAGTGTGGAGGAAGCATGAGAAGAGGAGGAGTAAGGCTGACCATGCATGAGTCTTTTTTTTTTGTTCAACCAGTAGGTTAAACGAAAGAAAATGACTTGATTCCCCATCCACATGCTCGATGTGGATGGGGGAATCCTCTCCCACTGAGCTATTGTATTCTTACAGCAGGGATACTTCTCCACCCTGAGAATATACTAATCAGTACCACTGGCTATAGCCGAAAGTGCAGATTAGGAGAACATTTTTCAACAGACTGGTTGTGCACAAGTCGATCAATACACATTCCACCAGTGCAGTTCAGATCTAAAAAACATTCAAACATTTACTGAATATTGAACATGCTGGTGCACACTTGCAAATGATTACTGGTTTTTAGGCTTGGTGCACTCCCGTGCGTCGGGAGTAAAGCAACCCATTTTTTTTCAATGGGCTGACCTACGCCTAAAAAATTCAGAAAAGAAGTCCCAGGCTCTTTTCTTAAAATATACTGCACCAAAGAACATGGTGCTGCAGCACCATGTGGTTTGGTGTGCTGCAAAATGCAGTAGGAGATATTTGCTAAAACTGGTGCACTGAAAATCTGGTGCAGGTGTGCATGGTAGCCAATACAAGAAAGGATTTTGCTCGCTTTGGAAACTGCAGCTTGACATGCTATCATTAATCTTATGATCTACCAGAACTCCCAGATCCTTCTCCACCATTGATTCCCCCAGTTGTACCCCCCCTAGTATGTATGATGCATGCATATTCTTAGCCACCAAGTGCATAACCTTACATGTATCAACATTAAACCTCATTTGCCAAATAGTTGCCCAATTAAACAGTGCATTGAGGTCGGCTTGTAAATTGGAGACATCCTGTAAGGACGTTATTCCACTACAAAGCTTGGTGTCATCTGCAAAGACTGAAACAGTATTTGTAATCCCAGACCCTATATCATTTATAACTATATTAAAAAGTAAGGGTCCGAACACTGAACCTTGGGGTATACGACTAACAACCCTAGACCAATCAGAGTATGAATCATTAACCACTACTCTCTGAATACGATCTTTTAGACAGTTTTTCTCCCATTTACATACGGATTTTTACAAGCCTGTAAACTTTACCTTTCACAATAGCCACATGTGGGGAACTGTGTCAAACACTTTTGCAAAATCCAAGTATACCACGTCCACCGCCACCCCTCTGCCCAAAGTTTTGCTCACCTCCTCATAAAAAGAAATCAAATTTGTTTGACTACTCCTGTCTTTCATGAATCCATGCTGTCTGTTAAAATATTTTTTTTCAGCAAGAACTCATCTATGTGGCCTTTTATTATCTTCCAACTATAGATGTTAAACTAACAGGTCTATCATTGCTTGGTAAAGATTTTGACACCTTTTTAAATATAGGCACCACATTGGCCTTATGCCAATCCAGTAGTACTATGCTAGTCATTAAAGAGTACTTAAAATTAGAAACAATGGCTTTGAAATGACAGAGCTCAAGTCTTTAAGGATCTGTGAGTGTATGTCATCCGGTCCAGGTGCTTTATTCACCTTTATTCTTTCTATATATTTCTGGATCATATCAGTTGTGAGCCAATGTGGATAATCTGGGGCTGTGTCAATATCATGCCCATTATGGACAAGAGCTCCCCCATGCTCCTTTATATACACAGCGCTGAAGAAGGTATGGGTGGGTGAGTGCTCTCTTAGCAATCCTGTTGCTGGTGAGTTCCCACCAGCAACAAGATCACTAGAGTGCCATGGTCCTGTTACTGTCATTCACAATACGTTACAGAATAGAGGTCATTTGACATCTGAAAGTTGCTGCTGTCCAAACTGCCCAACCTCCTGCTAATAACACATGGTAAGCTCAATTTACTTAGCTATTTAGATTGCTATTTGCCATAATTTCTGAATCCCATATGTTTGTGTGATAGTATCACATATATTAACAGAAATGTGAATACCTACAGAATTCTGTGTTGGATTTTTCTTTGGTTATTTGAGGTCACTGATTCAAGTAGTTTTATGAACAGCAACAGTCATACCTAAGGAGGCCTCTCACTTCTAGCAATTAGCTCCAAAAGTGATTATCAGACAAGTAAAGTAAAGCTACATAAATGTCATTCATTTTACATTTTTACAAGTACAAATACTACCTAATAGCAGATCTCAGCAATATGCCTGCTCCTTTTTTTGTTAGCGGGTATACCCTCTTTTTTGTGCTACTTTTAAATTAAGTTATTTTTTTTGTCACTGGGGTCTGACTTAAATGACTTCTGGAATAAGCCCCAATTACTGCAATTTTCTTGTCCAATCAGAGCACCTCAGTGACAAATTAATGCACTCTCAATGGACAAGGAAATAGGAGTTGATGGTGCACAGCAAAATCAGGGAAGTCAGTCACCTAGTAACAAAGTTACCCTCAATAAAAGGTCTGCTTCAGAGCAGACACCACAGGTTTTTTACTAAAAGTCAAAAGTAGCTGGCAAATTTTTTTGAGTAAAAAAAAAAAATGTACATCCTGCATTAAAAGAGATTCAGGAATCTGCCTTCGGTAAAGAATTTAGCCAAAAAGGACATGCTCCACCAGTAAGGCATCCTCTCCAGTACACACGCCGTTTGTCTTCAGTACACCACACACTTTGATCTCTCCCCAATGATATCTGAACTCTCATGTTACCAATGACATCTGCACTCACAAAACACACTTCCCATCATCCATGTCAGCAGTAAGATCCACACGCATCTAATTTTCTAGTATGCAAATCACCAGTGAGATCTGCTCCTAAGGACACACTGCTCAAGTTTAGGCATCTGTGCTACCAGTGAGATCTCTGCTCCAGAACATACAGCTTACTCCTCAGTATCCATGTTTCCAGGCGTGGTTTAGAAAGGTTTAGTTAGAGACTGAGCCTACTTACAGTATACACTTCACACATCTACCATAGGCTTTTGAACCCAACAATTACAGCACCACAAGCAAATGTCTCACAAACAAGCATGAAATGCTAGATGAATGATCACTTTCCTACATTCAACCTCTTCCTAAATATCCTTGCATCAGTGGTCAGTGGGAGAAAAATGGCCTGACATTGGTGATGATTAGGAGGAAAAATGCTTGATTGTCATTGTCAGGGGAGAAAGAATACACTGGCATTAGTGGTCAGTAGAAGGATGAATGCCAAGGCATCAGTGGTCAGCAGGAGGAAGAATCCCCTGGTGTCAGTAGTCAGCAGGCAGAAGAATGCTCCAGAGTCAGCTGTTAGCTGGAGGAAGAATTCCCTGACATTGGTGTCAATAACAGAAAGAATGCCCCAATGTCTAAGTCAGTGGGAGGGAAAAATGTTCCAGTGCCAGTGACTGTTAGAGGACAAATACTCCATCTTCAGTGGGATAAAGAATGCCCAAGCATTTTGTCCAAGGTAGGAAGAATGCCTAACCTTTATGTCAATAGATGTTTGTGGAAGATAGCATGCTTTGGTATTGATGATCAGCGGAAGAAAAAATGTCCATGCTTTGGTGTGCATGGCATAAAAAAAATACTCTGGCAACAATGTGGGAAGAATGCCCCAATGTCAGTGTTGGTGGGAGGAAAAATGCTCTAATGGTGTTGTTTGTCTAAGGAAGAATGCTCTATTTTTGATCACTCCATGTGATAAAGAATGCCCCACAATTCATAACCATAAGAGGAAGAATGCTCTGGAGCTACTGTCTATGGGAGAAAAAATGTCCCACTGCCTATGGTCTGTGAGATAAAGATTGCCCAAAAGCTCATGTATTTAGAAGGAAGAATGTCCTGATATCAGTGTTCATGAGAAGAATAAATCCCTGTATTTGTGCTTCAAGGGTAAAAGTATATCCTGGTATTATTATCCAGGGGAGAAAGAATGCCCTGCCATTGGTGTCCGTGGATGAAAGAATGCCTTGGCATCAGCGACCATGAGAAGAAGAATTACTTGGTGTTGATGAAGCACTATATAGCCAAAAGTATTGGGACCCTAACTTTACACACACTTTAATGGTATCCCAGTCTTAGTCCGTAGAGTACAATATTGAGTTGGCCCACCCTTTGCAGCTATAACAGCTTTAACTCTTCTGGGAAGGCTGTCCACAAGGTTTAGGAGTGTGTCTATGGGAATGTTTGACTATTCTTCCAGTAGCGCATTTGTGAGGTCAGGCACTGATGTCAGACGAGAAGGCCTGGTTCGCAGTATCCGCTCTAATTCATCCCAAAGGTGTTCTATTGGGTTGAGGTCAGGACTCCTCAAACTTGCTCATCTATGTCTTTATGGATCTTGCTTTGGGCACTGGTGCACAGTCATGTTGGAACAGGAAGGAGCCATCCCCAAACTGTTCCCACAATGTTGGGAGCATGAAATTGTCCAAAATGTCTTGGTATGCTGACACCTTAAGAGTTCCCTTCACTGGAACTAAAGGGCCAAGCCCAACCCCTGAAAAACAACCCCACACCATAATCCTTCCTCCACCAAACTTTACACTTGGCACAGTGCAGTCAGGAAAGTACCGTTCTTCTGGCAACCACCAAACCCAGACACGTCCATCGGATTGCCAGACAGAGAAGCGTGATTTGACACTCCAGAGAACACATCACCACTGCTCTAGAGTACAGGGGCAGTGTGCTTTACACCACTGCATCCGATGTTTTGCATTGCACTTGGTGGTGTAAGGCTTGGATGCAGCTGCTCAGCCATAGAAACCCATTCCAGCTCTCTACGCACAGTTGTTGTGCTAATCTGAAGGCCACATGAAGTTTGGAGGTCTTTAGCTATTGACTCTGCAAACAGTAGGTGCCTTTTGTGCACTGTGCGCTTCAGCATGCACTGACCCCACTCTGTCATTCCAAATTGCTTCCACTTTTTTAAAATACCACTAACAATTGACTGTGGAATATTTAGTAGCAAGGAATTTTCATGGATGGACTTATTGCACAGGTGGCAACCTATCACGGTACCATGCTTGAGATCACTGAGCTCCTGAGAGCGACCCATTCTTTTATAAATGTTTGTAGAAGCAGTCTGCATGCCTAGGTGCTTGATTTTATATGTCTGTGGCCATAGAGGTGGTTGGAACACCCGAATCCAATGATTTGAAGGGGTTTCCCAATATATTTGGCAATATAGTGTATGATTCTTAACTGCAGCAGCAAAAAGTCAGGTCTTTGTAAATATTCAGACTGGATATACAGAAACATAACTCCTTTTACAGATAATACAATTCCCATATGTGTTTTTTTCAACTAGATATAGCTAGTTGTACAGGTATAGCTGTTTGTCTGGAGTTAAGCTTTACTGAAGAACTTTACAAATTACTTTCACATGGCCTCACAGCAGCGGGCAGGGGTGGCTGACAGACAGAATCAATTGATTCTTGCCGGCAGCTCCAAGGCATTGGTGACTTTGGGGGGGGGGGGGGGGGGGCATATTCCCATGTTAGTGCCCTTTCAGATAAGAGACAATAGGGACAATGAGGGTGGGAAAATCATGGATAGACTGGCATCAAACAGTGAACTCCAAAAAGTGTTGAGTCGCTCTTTATCCTCAGGGCTTAAGCCATATAAAAATAACCTGAAAGTCTGGCCAAATTCATGATTAAACCCTTATATGTGACAATGTAGCCAAGGAATGGAACCTGAGTATGCGCAAACAGGAACTTCTCCAACTTGTACAGGCAGTTCTGAAGCCACAGTAAAACAATTTTCACATAAGGACAATGGGTACACAAGTCTGGTGGGATGAGTGCTTGATATTTAATACTATTTTCCACTCGTTGCCTTCTCAAATCCTGATAAACTTGTAAGCCCCTCAGAGATCTAATTTAGAGAAGATACATTAAGGCTTCTCTAGTCAATGCAGTGTTGTAGCAATCCAGCCTTCTTTTCAAGAAAAACCCAGCCTCAGTGGATGAATTGGATTTATACAGGTTTTTCTGGATATACTTCAACATGGCCTGTGTTTTGGAGATGGAAAGTGAGTAGACATGGTTGTAAGGTGGAGTAGCTTCTGACAGGAGGGTAATGGGGCAGTCAGAGGCACATTTAGGAGAAAGGCAGTCTAAGACTTCTTTGCAAAAATAAACATCACAGAAAGACTGATAATGTGGGGAAAGCATCAGAGTTGCAGTTGAGTAAAAATGTTTGCAATTAGAATGATGGGCTGGTGGATTTAGGAAGAACAAGAAAAGAGATTTCCTCTAGATACGAAACTGTGATGTGCAAAGCTATAGAGGAGGTTTGGAACCGTAAAGGACCTATAGGCAAGGTGAAGCCATCAACTGTGGGCACTAAAAGGGGAATTGGCAGAAAGACAAATGAGATGCCCAAATTGGAAACCAGGGATTGCTAGATGGAATTTGGGCTGCACTGGAGTCCACATACTGTATGCAGAAAGTTGATAAGCATTCAGAGCCTAGAAGATAGAAGGTGAACAAGAGAAACTGATCATCTCCCTCCGGGTGGATTAGACCCAGAAGTCTCCCTTGCAGACTGGGCAAGTCTTCAACAGGTGGTCCTTGACCCCACAATACAGAAATAAACCTTTATTGAGGCAACAAGTGCATAACTCTGGAATAAACCAAGTTTGCCCTAGTTACATAGGTTCTACCGATGCTTTGGTGGATCAAGATAAAGGAGGTTCAAGATCTTTTTGGAAATGGGGATAATCAGCCAGCAGGAGGATGATATAAAGTAGATCTTTCAGGAGCTTTTCCCTGGAAGTGAATGACAATCTGGATGCAAAGAGCAATCAAATGATCCAGGGTAGTAGGAATGGATCTTTTGCCTAATTCAACCTTTATGCATCCTAATAACCCTTCCCAAAAGGTAGTGGTAATGGCCTCATGACTCCAAAATGGTTTTGAGGCCAGGGTGTGAAATTATGTCATGTATTGAATATGGTCATACCTGAAAATGGTGCCAACATCAGACAAGACTTGAATCTTATCATTCTCACAGTGGGGAGGCCTAAGCCATGGTAAGATCATATACTCTATCTTGGAGCCATGGTGGTCATAAAATTGAAAATGAATAGAGCACTAATTTATGAAGCCACAACATGCCTTAGGATGACTATAAAAATGAGGCAGTGGAGGAAGACGAAGACTGGAGGCGCCAGCCCCTCTAGGTGTGTTGTGGAGGCTTCTGGGACTGGAGCCGAGGTAAGTGCAACGTGCAGATGGTCCAAGTGGGCAGAAATGTCCTCTAGGAAGAGCATAATCCACTCTTGGTTGTCCTGCTGGGAGTTCATTCTCTTCATTTTGGTCTTTGGGTCACTGCAGGGTCTCTGATAAGTTCATGGCCAAGCAGATTATCACAGGACCAAAGGGAGTTGTGTGAGCAGGTGGCCAGGGGTGCAAAGTACAAGGGCCATTTGGTGTTCTGCAAAGGATCCCCTCAAGAAGTTTAAACTTTGGGGTGTGCTGACCCCAAGTAGTGACCCCAACATACTTTTTTTTTTTTTTTTTTTACTATTGGTAACATTTCATAGGGTTTAATAATTTTGTAGCACAATAGGCTTTTGGATAGTTACCACTCTGGTATATTCATTGGCAGAAACCAAAAATATAGGACAAGCACATTGATTTTATACATGGGCCAAATTCAAATACTTCACAACCCAGACTGCCTTCGCTTGTGTCCCACCCGATTCATTTTTTCAGACAAATAGTGCCTCAGTAAACAAAAGGTAAGTGCAAACATGCCTCACCCACCAATTTAAAATAAGTTCAAATCATCATTGGGATAGTAGTTCTGAAAACCGAGCCACAACCTCAAACCTTTTGAAACCTAAAAACATAACAAAACAAAATTCTAAAATGAAAATATATACAAAAGTTTAATACACTTAAACAAGGATGAAACTTGTGGTCAGGAATAATGATAACATGAAACTTCACTGTTTTTGAAGTACCTTACTAAGGTTTACACTTCAGGACTTTTATTTTCATACTGCTGATAAACAGTTGCTGATGCCCATCCATCTGTAAAACAATTAAATAGAACTAATAACATGCTGATACTTACAGGAACAGACATATATTCGCAGTTAAAGGAAACTTGCAATGAGAGCAATAAAACGCTGTCATTGCAAAATAATTACAAAATAAATAAACTCCAGCAATATAAAACAATTCATCAACACCAAACAGCTAAAGTAAAAATTGGTATACAAACACAGAAACTGTAAAATATGTAATGAAACAACAAATACATCTCTGCGTAGTTTAGGCTGAGCAACCAAATATAAATATATATATATATATATATATATATATATATATATATATATATATACTTGCAGGTCTGCAAGGGACCTGCATGGCACCATCGCTGGTGCAATCCTTTCCAGGCTCCTGCAACAAAAAAATAATAAATGCACAATTTTTACCTGCAAACAAATGTGCATTTATTATTTTTTGTCAAAGGTGAACTTATCCTTAAATAATTCTTCCAAAAATAGAAGTGTTCATAGTTTATTTTTATCAATTAACAAAATGGAAAGTAAATGAACAGAAGAGAAGTCCAAATTAAAATGATGATTGGCCCCCCAAAGAGCCCTGGTCTCAACATCATTGAGTTTTTCTGGTATTGAAGAGACAGAAAGATTTGAGGCAGCCTACATCCACAGAAGATCTATGGTTAGTTCTCCAAGATGTTTGGAACAACCTACCTGATGAGTTCCTTCAAAAATTGTGTGTATGTGTAACTCATAGAACATCAAAGCCACAAGGTCAGTAGTACAACCAACCAGCAAGCATTCTTTGTAAAATACAGGTGTCCTTTATTCATGAGAAGAGTGGTCACATTGAATAATAACCTGCATGTCATTGTGAAGAGGTGCTTCTTGAACTCATCTTCTTGGAAGTTAAAGATTTGAACAGGGGTTGCTAAGATTGCTTATTTTACACAGGCCAGGATTTATTGATAAAATCTTAACTTGAAAAACTAAAAATGATTTGTATGCCCTTTCAGTCTGCTCTACAAAGCTGCAATGTAGCTGCAGAGGTGACACTTTTATTACATGTTTATGTAAATTTTATGTTAAATTGTACAGAGTTTACTGATTAGGTAAATCATGTATTCAAGTAATGTATGAGCCCTAACCTCACAAGTATTCTGCTTGTTCAAAATTTGTGAGCAGAAAATTCAAGCAGGATTGTGTGTAATATACATGTAATGTGCAGCAATAAAAAGAAATCATGTATGCAGGTGAAGTTTTAGAATGTGTAACATTTTTATTTATACTATAGGTGATGACTACAGCTTCAGTACAGGCAATATTCCAGTTTATAAACAAAGGCAGTGTGCATGGAAACCAACACATTAACAAATTGATAGGAAGTGTCCTGCCCTAAAAAGCTAACACTCTAAGTCAGCCTTTCTCAACCAGGGTTTCATGGAACCCTAGAATTCCTTCTGAGGTTGCTAAAAGGTTCCTTGAATAGTGACCGACAATGAAAGGGGACACCACAATTTTCACTTTCTTTCCTATTATAGCTCATTTTATTTCAAGGTTAATACTAGGAACATTTTGTATAGAGAATTGTTTGTTAACAAAAATTGTCTGAACTGGGTGTAAAATATTCTGGAAATGTCACATTATGTATTCTTTTATTTAAAATGTCCTACAACTCTCTGATCATGTTAATGTGCCATGAGCTGCAAGTACAATCGTTTATAGCAGGGGTTCCCCAAGATCTTGAGATTTGAAAATTATTTAAACCTTGGTGTCAAATATTCTGAAAAGTCACATTCTTTATTCTTTTATTTAAGACATCCTCCTACTTACTTATCACACCAATGTACCATGAGCTGTAAGTACAATCATTTATAGCAGGGGTTCCCCAAGATCTTGAGATTTGAAAATTATTTAAACCTTGGTGTCAAATATTCTGAAAAGTCACATTCTTTATTCTTTTATTTAAGACATCCTCCTACTTACTTATCACACCAATGTACCATGAGCTGTAAGTACAATCATTTATAGCAGGGGTTCCCCAAGATCTTTAGATTTGAAAATTATTTCAACCTGGG